CAGGAGTCGCACTGAAACCTCGACATTTATAGATGTGGTGATCGACTTCACAAAAAGAACATTTTTGTTCGCCTTTGGAGCATGAAAACGATGATTTAGTGGCCTTTTTCGACGGAAACTCAAACCTTGGCTTGCCTTTCGACTTTGAGGATTCTTCAGCAGACAAGTGTTGATATTGCCTCTTGAGTACAGTGTCACACTCCGACCACAGTGGTAAACTATCATAGTCGAGCTGCTCTTCGTATTTAGCCTTTGTGTAACTGTCTACTTTCGACAAGACGATGTGTATCAACAGTGCATTGACAATTTGTTTTTCATTCCCCAAAGACAGGAGTGACTCGAAAATGGCTGGTACGGTGTCTATGATTGATCTCAAAGCCGAAGTTGAGGGCTTGCTCATAGACGGAACGTCAAACAACTGTGCTAATATGTCCAAAAATATTAAGCTTTTGTTGTCATATACCCGCTCTAGACTTTCTAATGCCTTTGAATAGTTCTCACCGGTCACTTGAAAAGCTTGTCCCTAAGGCTTCAATGGATAGACAAGAGAGAAGATGGTTAAACTTCTCAATCTTTGATAGTGAGCGGTCAGAATCTACCAAACTTTTAAAAGGGCTTATAAAATGTTTATAGTCTGCATGTTTGCCACTAAATCTTGGTAGCTTCATTTTTGGTAAATTAGAATGTTGCGCAGCAGGAAGCAATATATCAACTGCCGGCGGTGCATTTAATTGCAAAAACAAACAACTTACGAAGAGAATCACTGCACTCAGCGTTTAAGTGTGAAGATGAAACGAAAAGAGGGCAAAGGGCACAAAATGAGCGGTCTAAGTATGTACTGGCGCGCACCCACGCATAAGCCGTTGCTGTAAGCGTAGGCCGTACAGTACTAACTCGATACCACGGTCAGCAAAGAAGCATGAGCATGAAATGGTCGGTCAACGAACTTGGGACTGCGACAATTTTCAATTCCCGATTTTTAATAATTGCTTCAAATTGCCGTTTTACACTTGACACAAATATTTCCTGTGCCAAACCAGATGCATGCGCCACTATATGCTGAGAACTGTATGTATGTAATTAGTTGCATCTTAATGTACATACATATGTGTATCTTGCGCAGTGCTAACAATGCACGTATATGTCCGAGTGCAATCAATTCCCGGGAAATTCAAAAAAAAATAAACTCGTCCTTTCTCGGATCTAGGAGAATCTGGATACCAAATTTGGTTATTCTAGCTTTTACAGTTTCTGAGATCCTTGCGTTCATCCGGAAGACGGACGGACGGAATCGTCATGCTCATTCAGAATATATATACTTTATAGGGTCGGAGATGCTTCTTTCTGCATGTTACATACTTTGCACAAACCTAATATACCCTTTTTACCCTACGGATACAGGGTATAATAAAAATTAAATTAATTTAATTAAATACAAATACATACAAAAGTGGAGACATGTTTACATACAGTTTTAACAGCATACATTGTCATCAGAATCGTGTCTCTACGTGCATTAATGCCTGCAGCACAAAGTTGAACCAAAGCAGCAAAAACAACAACAGCTGCGGGTAGAGCTTCGGTAAAGAGTATACAAGGGGCTTTCCAAAGTAAACAGGACTTTTTGAATCTAGAGCCCCCTGGTGCCGCTATCTATATGTCGACTGGTGCGTTAGAATCTGCTATCTTTATCGATTGTCCAGTGAGAATTTCATGACATTACATCGATTGGAAGTGAAGTTATTGCGTTTTAAGTGTCAGTATGTTTATATTATCGGTGCAAAAGTGAGCTTCGAACAAAGAGCCAACATAAAATTTTGTTTTAAAATTGGTAAAACTTTTACCGAAACGTTTCAATTGATGGAACAAGTTTATGGCGATGATTGCCTATCCCGTAGCGGAGTGCACGAGTGGTTTCAACGTAAGGACATAAATGACGATCAACATGAGGGCCAATCAAAATTCGTGATCACCGAAAATTCCATCGAAACTGTGCGTGAATTCATCAAAAATCAGCCGAAATCATCATTGTAATTGATGGAATTGAACATCTCTAAAACGACCAAAAATTGATCAGAATCGATCGACGCTGGTGACCGATTATTTGACCAAAAATCACATTTTAACCATTAACCACTTGCCGTATTCACTTGATATGACACCGTGCGATTTCTACCTTTTCGGAAAAATGCATTTGCCCATGAAAGGAAAGCGTTATGCAGACGTAGAGGCCATTTAAAAGGATTGCATACTGGCGGCCATACCGGCCAACGAGCTAAAACACTCGTTCGACATGCTTTTGGATCGTGCAAAAAGCTGTATTGAAGCAGAAGGAGATTATTTTGAATAAAATAAATCGATTTTGCCGAAAAAACCATTTGTTCTGTTTTTTTTAAGTTCTGTTTACGTTGGAACACACATTTATAACTTTCTTCAAAATTATCATAATCATAATCACTAACTGAAGGTATTTGCTGAATCTGAGTACAAACATGGCTATATCGACTCATCATCCTGATCTAGAATATATATACTTTTTGGGGTCTGCCACATTCGCACAAAACTAGTATACCCTTTGACCCTTTGGGTACAGGGTAGAAACAACTTTTTAAAAGTTGTGATGTTGCTCCGGTGTCATCGCCGACCAGATTAGTCCAAGTTATTTGTTACTTGAACCCCCAAAAATAAATGGTAAGGGGCTTAACTTTTAATCGTTTTATTTGGTGTAGGCGGCCTTCAGTGCACTTAGCAGAAAATAAATGCCATCTTAATGCTGTGCAGCGCAGCTGCATGCCTCCGTGGCTAAAGAAGAACTAACTCCATTTTACATTATTGTCTTACCTGTATATCTATATGTTTATATTATAGTTTTTTCCTTAAAACTACACCCCGCCGTCACTTTTTAGTGACGACACCCTGTGGGAGTTGCTAGGGTGTCGTTACACTCCCCTCTTTCTTCGGAGGGGCTGGCTGCCGGTCGGCCCGCTGGTACCGCCGGTGGGTCAACGGAATTCTTGCCTACCGTTAGTATTCTGCTCTGCGGACCTGCAACAGTCAGCAACAGTGCTACCCATCCCATGCAATAGTGTTGGGCACCGGTCCGCTGCATTTTATTGAACATCGCTGCCACCTGTTCTCTACAGGAGCTATGACGTCGCGATCGCGGCAACGTGTTGTGACATTGATTTGTTATTTTGGACGCTTTTATTTTATGTACCTGTGTTTTTGTCCAGCCTGGTCTTCTGCGCTTCCCCTCATGTTCAGCCACCCGTTTTGTACGTCTGACGATTGGTGAGTAGACGGTCTTCCTGGCCATGCCAGTAATTAACTTTGGGAAAAGTATGCGTTTAGTGGTTCTCACCTGGGCAGAACTTCTTGCGCCACTGTCGAAATACTGGTGTGGATCGGCAGTCGTGGTTTTGAGGTCTCGCACGTGTGCGGTTTAAGCCCCTCCTCCTGCTATTGGCTGTAGGAGGGCAATGACTGGAAATACGAACGCTTTCACTGTGTATGGCCCGTCATGGAGCCAGCTTCGGTGCAAACTACTTTGTAGTGTTGAATAACTGGTACTGTTTGACCAGAACTTCGTCGCTAATTCGGGGACGCCTCCTCAAATGGTATTGACGCGCTTGGTCTTCACTGGCCAGCCCTTGGTTCCTTCGTACATTCTGCGTGACAAATTTTATCAGCGCTGTATGCGCCTTGAGGTTGACCGCGTTGGCCCCTGGTGCATATGGATCGTCCCCGTATGTGGACGTCTTGGGTCCCTTGCGGACAAGATTAACGCTGGTGAGTAGCCTGTGACTACAAATTGAGTGGTGTTAATTGCCAAAGGAATTTCTGGCCGATGTTCAACCCATGCAGCATGCTGTACATGCTGTGTGACATCATCGGTAATTAACTGTCTAGGCGTGCCAAACCGAGCCAGAATACGTTCTCGCAGCGTCAGTTTCACTGCCGCCGCTCTAGGAGTGCGAATTGGGACCAGTTCTGTCCCATTCTGTCTGCTGTCGTCAGGCGCTGTATCCATTTGCCTCCATCCACGTGCCAACGCACCTCCAGTTCGGCGTGGATTTTGCCGGCCACCTTTCGTGGTTGTCGTAACAATGGATCGACTGCCCCAGCCGCCTGTTCTTCTGTGAGCTGGAGCCCCAATTGGCTCTGTTATCGCCAACGCTGCATGTTGAGCTCTTCGGCGCCTCCGACGCCCCCTTCGCCGTATTGTGGGCGTCGTCTCGGCGGAATAAACCGGCGCTATGCACAGCTCCTCCAGCTCTTCCGCTTGCTGATTAAACTTGGCTACCGTATGGACGTCGTGATGGTGGATCCTGATGTTTATCGTCGACAGGCTGTTGTTATAGATGAGCCTCAGCAGCTCTTCTCCAGACATGCCGCGTCGAACATGACCATCAGCATCGCTTGGACATATGCTGCGGTTGTATCTGACTCGCCTTGGAAGTGTCGTCGCGCGCTTTATGGCCACTGCTTCACATAGGGGGCTGCTGGGTCGGATTCCGCCTAGTCCGGTCCCATGTCAGCGCTGCACACTCCAGGTAATATTGGCACTAAGTTGCCCACCGGTTCCCCGCTCGCTTCTGCTTTACTTTCCTGCTTGCGCAAGAATGCTCGTGGGTCCCCGCTGCCGTCGAAATGCACGTCCCATTGTGTCACCTCGCATCACTAAACGTTGCTTCAACCGAGCCATCTTAACGCTGTGCAGCGCAGCTGAATGTCTCCGTGGCTAAAAAAGAACTAACTCCATTTTCCATTATTGTCTTACCTCTATATCTATATGTCTAAATCTTTCCTTTTTCCTTAAAACTACACCTCGCCGTCCCTCACTAGTGACGACACCATGTGACATTCGCCAGTACGTCGTTACAAAGTCCAAAATACTTTTTAGGGTCTTTCACACTCATTCAGTGTGTTACATACATTCGCACAAAACTAGTATACCAATTTTTCACTTTGGATACAAAATAAAATTATGCATTAACAAAAACGTTGGTATCACCGTTTATTAAAAATAATATGTTTTCTGTTATTGTCATTTATGATATTAATTATGTATATTACATATATTTACTTTTACAGTTGTGATAACAGCTTACTTAATTTTAAGAGCACCACGTTCGATCATATTCACATTTATAAGCGTACCATTGTGTCATCCAAGCATTTTTTCTGGTCATATTTTTAGTTTCACTAGTGAAATTAAAATCACGATAGTTTGCCTGAAAAATAAGAAATATCTTTTGTTACAAACTGTTACATGAAAAGGTATATATTCAAACTCACGTAAAGGGCATAGAATGACATAATCAATAATTTCAATTATATTATTTTGAAATAGTCAAACATAAACGTTTAATTTAAGTTAACAACAATTCGGGTTTCAGAATACTTTGACTGTTGAGAAAACACCAGTGTTTCTTGAAAATGAGTTAGTTTATCTCATCAGAGAACGTAACCCAATATTATTGCAACAGTTGCAAACAAAACTGACGAAACAATTTTTATGCGATTGCACATTCGCATCGAATTTGTGTCTGTGTGTGGCATGCATGCCTATGTGTGTCTATCCGTGTCTGTGTCAGCATGTTTGCAGTCAACCAAAGCATCAGCATCAACAACACCTGCGGACAGCGCTTGGGCAGCAATTGTACATATCAACTTTCTATGAAAAATTTCTTTGCGTTAACTTATTATTAATCAAAAAACAAGTAAAAAAGCTAAAGTCGGGTGTACCGACTTTGAAATACTCTGTACATATGTTTACAATAATTATAGAAAATAAAAAAAATTAAGAAAATTAAAAGAAAAATTTTTTATCGATTTTACCTTTCTCGGTATTCGAACTCACGTAAACTCACAAAAATAAAACAAACTCTTATAGAATACACACATAAGGCATCTTTGTGCAAAATTTGGTGTTTCTATCTCTTATAGTCTCTGAGATCTAGGTGATCATACGGACGGACAGACAGGGCTAAATCGACTCGTCTTGTCATGCTGATCAAGAATATATATACTTTGTGGGGTCTGCCACGCCTCCTTCTGCCTGTTACATTTTTCAGCTCGCGCAAACCTAATATACTCTTGTACATTTCATGTACAGAGTATAAAAATTAAATACTAAATATATTTATGGTTTTTTTATTATCAATATACCTTTATTGTTGGTGTTCATATATATGCCCCATAGCGCTGCAGTTCATCATACTTTCAATGTCACACGCACTTGACCGTATCATGGTATCCATTGGTATTTAGTGCCATTCACCTTTAATCGATGTGAGTCAAAGCAAAACAAAAACACCTCCAACGGATCCGATAACTAATACCAGATTGGAGAAATTGCAACTCTATCTCCTGAATTCGCTGCTTACTAAGCAGGCATCGCTGGGAGAAGAAATTCAAACACTGATAAGGAATTACAAAAAGGATTCCCAGGATAGAAAAACGAAAGCTTACTACGAAGAAAGAAAAGCAAGGCTAAGCCATCTTTGGGAGCAGTTGCAACTATTTCAGCTATTTTGAAAGCGACTATTACACAAAAATAATAGATATCGCTAATGAGTATTTAACTAAATTTACTCAGCACACAACCATGCTTCAAACGTTTGACATGGACACCAGCCTCTTAGGCGATAATGCTGAAAGGTTACAAGGTATTGAGCCGCATATAAGGCATCAAAACGCTTTGATGAGTGCATTGTCTCGCATAATGGGACAAATTACACTTGGAAACAAACAACAACTGAGGCCTATGGCGAAATATTGGAATCAAATTTCCGATGTCCATGAATGCATGTTCCCGCACTTGACGCACCCACACAAATGACAAGTCAATTGTCGTTGCAGCTGCCAAAGATGTCAATACCGAAATTTGACGGTGACTATCTCAAATGGCAACAATTTCATGACATCTTCAAAAAGATAATTCAAGAGGCCGAACTTCCCACGATTCAGAAATTGTGGTACTTGAAGGCCAACGTTCAAGGCGAAGCAGAACGACTAATTCACCACCTGTCGCTCACTGCTTCAGGATCGTTTTAATAATGAACGGCAACTCCAATCTTTAATGGAGTTTATGTCCTTCCTTGAGCAACACTTTCTGGCTTTGGAGAAATTTCAGGCATACGCATCGGGCAAAGTTGACACATACAAAACATGCACGTTTTGTAATCAGTCCAACCAGTCATTGCGACAGATTTAAACTAAAATCAGCCCCAGAAAGACTGAACTGGGCACAAATGCAAAGATTATGCGTAAACTGCTTGGGAAGAAATCATAGAACCCTAGAATGCCGTTCCCTTAATTGTAATAAAAAATGCGACGTAATGAAACAAAAAGGCACTAGCCGACAAACATCGAACTGGATGATTTCAATCCTACTGGTTACTAATAAGGATGAAAAACATATGGGTAGGTCATGCACACACAAAATAAATACAATTTGAAACATTATATTGAGCCGGGTTAAGACGGGCAATACCTGCTAGTAGTAAATAAACTTATAATTGTAAGCACAAATACTGAGCCCAGCAAAGACGGACAAGACTTGCTAGTCAACTATAGCAAACTTAACAAAGTCACAATGGCCGACAAATACCCTATTTCCGAAATAAACGTGGTGCTTTCCCAGTTGGGTAACAAGAAGATTTTTTCAGTGCTTTACCTTAAAAACTGATGTGCATACAAGCAGAGCCTGTCACAGTACAAGAAAATACTCAGACAGGCGAAACGATCATGTTGGCAAAACTTTTGCTCTGACATCTACTGCATATAATACTTTTATATGCAGTCCAAGGCTTTGACTTATGTGTAATGTCCAATTTATATGGTTGTTCGTAGAAAATTAACATACGTCTCCTGTGTTTTTTATAGCCTGTACCCAAAGGGTGAAAGGCTATACTAGTTTTGTGCGCATGTATGTAACACACAGAAGGAGGCGTGGCAGACCCCACAAAGTATATATATTCTTGATCAGGATGAGAAGACGAGTCGATATAGCCATGTCCGTCTGTCCGTCCGTCCGTCTCTATGAACGCAAGGATCTCAGAAAGTATAAGAGCTAGAATAACCAAACTTGGTATCCAGGTTCTCCTAAGTCGGAGAAAGGACGAGTTTGTGTTTTTTTTTCTGATGCACCCCTCCACTCCCCCGCAATTCGTGTTTTTTCTTATAACTTCCGTAATTCTCGGAATTTTGAAATCAATTTTGGTAGGTACAAATTTCATCATTATAGGTCAATTCTGAAGAAAGTTATAGCCATAAGTAAAATCGCTGCTCATGCGCTGCCTGCAGCTCTGTCGGCAGCGCTGCCCGCTGCTGTTGTTGTTGTTGCTGCTTTGGTTCAACTTTGTGCTGCATACATACATATAAACACGCATAGGTACGTGATGTAAATGTATGCTGTTAAAACTGAACATAAACATGTATTATAATTTAATTTAATTAATTAATTAATTCATTCATTTTTTTAATAATTTATTTTTTTTTTAAATTTTTTTTTTTTAATTTTTCTTTTTTGTGGAGAGTACAGGCTTGCTCGACTGTAGCGTTCTATCTTGTTGGAGTATAAAAAACGAACTGACACCTGCTGACAAAAACTAAGTACGACAGCTTTTACTTATGAGTGTTGTTCTTCATCTCAAAATAACACCTTTTGCCCGTTGTTGCCCTTTTTGGAAAAAATCGTGTTTATTGTCGTGTTTCGGCACGCAGAAATTGTTGGCATTCGGGGCAGCAACAAAACCTCAGAAGTCGCATTTAAGCAGTATATATTGCAGAACATTTAGGTAAAAATCGTAAATGAATATATTATATTGATTTTGGGAAAAGGATAAGCCTTCGCCAGTTACATTAGCAAGTAAAAAAGCTAAAGTCGGGTGTCCCGACTTTGAAATACTCTGTACATATGTTTAGAATAATTATAGAAATTAAAACAAGTAAAAAAGCTAAAGTCGGGTGTCCCGACTTTGAAATACTCTGCACATATGTTTACAATAATTATAGAAAATAAAAAAAATTAAGAAGTAGTAGTATATCTACCCTGCCAGTAATACAAATCGAAGGGTATAACAGTAAATACATACATTGTGACACTTTGTCATAATAATCGTAAATATACAAATACCCAAAAGCCCACAGTTAAACATGGAAACACACCAGCGCATATGTAATACGATCCACCGCTTATATACAAGCCGAGCGCGTGGGAAATGCGGAGCGTGCACTTTGCAGCTCAAGTGGTCAAATACATACATATATAACATATGCATGCCTTCTGCATACATATGAACACAATAATATAAACATACAAACATACAAATATGTAGATATAAAAACTTTATGTATTAGCTTCAGTCTAATATATTCAGATTCATTTGCACAGCCAAGTAGAGCAGAAGCTCTGGCAAACATAAAACCGTTTTTCAATTTGGACTGAAGATTCCAACTACATGGCGACCGTGACAAGTTACACGAAGCTGTAATGTAATTGCATAATTACATATAATTATTAAGCCTGTGCGATGACCAGCACCGGCACCGCTTAACGCGCCCAGTTAAGCCCTTATGAGTGACGACTACATAGATTCTGTTCCTATTGAGCAAAGGGAAGCAGCTTCCATCCAGGAGTACCTGGAGGTGTTTCCAAACGATGGACCACGCCCACTCACAATAGCTGAGTACCGGGCACGGCAGAAAAAAAAATCTACAGCAAAACCAAAGACAAAACGTGGAGGACAAGTAAGAAAGCTACTTTAACAAAAACGCCTGCAACAAGATTTGCTGGCGGCAGCGACGACACCAGAAGACCGACAGCGCTACATAGAGCGCATCAACGAATTAAAAGCTGAATTAAAACTTCGCAACCGGGCGAGGCCACGCAAGGGGGCGGCAAATATGGGTAAGCCTTAACTTGCCATAGATTTAATTTCTACATGCGAATTGACGCACGTCAATGCAAGTCGCAAAACACTAAAACCTGTTAGGCTTTCATTACTGACATATGTGGTTGGAGAATTTTTTTTTAATTTTATGATTTGTAACATTGAATTGGGAGCCTACTACATAAACTAAATAACTAACTTTTCCACGTCTCTGGCGCTGAGTATTTATACTCAGCTGCGTTTAGAATTTTTGTGTAATTCATAAATCTTGCAATAAGTTCATTGCAATGAAAATATGACTCCAATTTTTGTTTTCGATTTTCTAAGAGGAAAAT